AATAGAGTGTCTTGTTCAATAATTGCTAGTAAAATGCCTTTTGGGTCAAATTTGTGCTTTGTACTTTAAGTAGTGAGAGTTCCAATTATAGTCTATAAAATCTAAAGTTATCAGAGAAAGGAAGGAAAGAAAACCAGATGCAGTTATAGCACACTAGAACCATTTTTCCACTTTACTAGAAATTTAACAATGTAGAGTCAAGTTACTGCTTTTGTGACCTTGGGGCAAGTCAGGTCACCTTCAGTTCCCTTCATATCCTTTATCTGAAAAACGAGGGAGTCAGATTAAATTCCCAAATTATTTTATACTGTGGACTAAGTTAAATAGGGCTGAAGCATGTAAACAAGCTCCCTAGCTCTTAAATATGAACCCCAATTTTCCAGCTCAGATGACAGTTAATGCATGCAGCTGGCCACCTAATGGAAACATAAAAATTAGCTGCATTTAAGATATCTGTGATGGAGTGGCATACTGCACAGATGACAGTCCAAAATCCATGAAAAGTCTGGCTGGGAATAATGCCATTTACAGAAGATTGCAAACTGGAAACTATGCAGTCCATTTAGTACTCTGGCTCTGTGGTTGACAGTTAAAGGGGATACATCAGAACCCCTAGGGAACTTTAACAAAGCGTACATGCTTCTGACCAAGCCCCCGAGATTCTGATTTATTGGTCTGGACTGGAGAAATAGACGTGTATTTTTAATAACCTAAGTGATTTTTTAGAAGCTGAGATATAATTCATAAACCACGAACCTCACCATTTAAAAGTGTGTAATTCAGTGGTTTTAATATACAAGACTGTACAAACCATTGTCACTATTCGGTTCCAGAGCATTTGATCACCGCAAAAGGAAACCCCCATTCATCTGCAGACTAAGAGTCACTTTCTATTCCCTCCTCGCCACTTCCCTCCAGTCCCTGAAAACATCAGTCTGCTTTCTGTCTCTGGATTTGCCTATTCTGAACATTTCATATACATGGAATCACACAGTATGTGGTCTTTTGTGACTGGCATCTTTCGCTTAGCATGTTTTCAAGGTTCATCCGTGCTGTAGAATGTATCAATATTTCATTCCTTTTTATGGCTGAATAATATCCCATCATACAAATATACCATATTTTGTTTATCCACTCATCGGTTGATAGCCATTTGGGAGTTTCCATGTTTTGACTATTAGGAATAATGCTGCTATGAACATTCTTATACAAGTTGTTTTGTGAACACATGCTTTCAATTTTCTTAGTTTTATACCTAGGAATGAAAAAAACCAGATGATTTTGATGGGTGTCCCTAGCTAAGAACCTTTGCTCTCTGAACACTCTCACATTTATTTCAGGCTTCAATCTCATCACTTTCTACAGAACCTCATCAAGGGATAATGATGCTGAGATACACAGTAAGGAAAAAAAAGGCCTAAGAAGTTTTTCGAAGACTACATAGAGTCCTCCTTTCTGTGAATGGAGACATCTTTCTCTGGCCTCAGTACAGGGAACTGATTTCCTTTAGTTTTGACACAATGTGAATCTCAACTAGCTTCCTTTCTTCATTTGACTACTAGAACCTTTAACAAGCACATCAGAGTTCACGGCATTCTTTTTATGTACTTACTTTTCTCCTGGTTTCATTACCTTCTTGTCCTTATTTCTACATTGCCTTGTTTTCCCATTATTTAAAATGTATTGCCTGTAATCCTAGCTAGCTCTCTGGGAGGCCGAGGCGGGCGGATTGTTTGAGCTC